GTATACGAGCCCTGAACATCAAGGGCAAAGTTGAGGAACTGAACTGAGTGGCAGGGAGAGGGAGAGACGGTTTGGAAGCAGCGAGGAGTTGCTAGACCTGCCCTGACGAGAGTCTGAGTCGTTCAGGCCTGATCAGCTCATGGGTGAGCGGTGAGGCAGGCAAGCAGTGGTGCTCAGGAGGTGTATTCCACACCGGGAGAGACCCAGCGGCAGAGAGTCCAGTCGGCCACCCACAACCAGTGAGAAGTAGCCCTCGATCGGCAAAAGATAAGTACTTGCATGCAGCCTACTGCATGGATCAAAAACACTCCCCTTAGGAAGAAACCTCTCTCCCATTTACCTCCCCGCTCCCTGCTCTGCACTGGGTCCTGGACCGGCTTCAGCAATTGCCAAGTCCCATGCACTGAAAGTAGGATCTGTCACACACCCTGAGCCGCTCTCCTGGCCTTGGAGAATGAACAAATAAACAGGAGAAAAAAAAAAAAACTTCCGACTCCCCTAAGCCAGGAACTCAGGGTAGGCACAGCTCCTTTCCCTAGGCACAGGCATAAGGGATCCACGGAATCTGAGTGCCTTTCCCCCTGCATAGACTTGTGTGGTCCCATTTCAACAGCGTAGGCCCTCATTACCGCAGTACAACAGGGTATATACCTGAAGTCTAACTTCAACTGTTTCAGCTGTGAAGTGGCAGGTTCTTGACATTTGACACTGCTCTGCCTGTTAAGCATGGTCTTCACCTACCTACTTCAGGGACCTGAGGACTGGTGGCTCCACCAACGCCACCTAGCCACCTGCGATAGGAGCCCATGAATAAGAGGTGCCCCCTCGTCCTTACAGCCAGCAGTACTGGGTACTCATAATCCAGCTCAAAACCACCCACCTACGTTCTCTAGGGAAGAGGGACATGTCTTTCTTCTGGACACTTGGGGGCAGCTGTCAGCACCCTGCCTTGCTCAGAGTGTGTCCCCCTCCTGCAGCCAGATGCCTTTGCCTACACCAATCACCCATGCCTGTCTAGGACTGTAGGTTAGAGCCTGCATGACACACTTGGTGGCCATCTATCTGGGCACCTAGGCTGAACCCATACAGGAGGAGTGGGCGGACTCCTGAGCTCACATACGTAGTAACAGATCTAACCACCTGGTGACAGGACATTAGAGCTTCAAAGGTGCCAACAATCAAACGAGCTCACACGAGCAGCCTATTTGGGTATATCAAAACAAAACAAGAAGCTAGGACACAGTAAGCAAACATAAAATAAATAAATATAATAACTTGTTGATGGCTCGGAGACAACAGTCAGTGTAAAATCACATAAAGAGGCAATCCGTGATGGCTTCAGCAAGCTGCCAAAATAAAGAATCTAGAATTTTCCAGAGGAGGAAAATTTCTTGGAATTACCGGGGGAAGAATACAAAAGATTAATGTATAGAACTCTTCCAGAGATTAGAAAGAAATTAATCAAAACACAGAACATGCAATAGAGGAAATTAAAAAGATTAGAGAAGAGCATAATGACAAATTGAACAGGCTGCAAGAATCCATAGAGAGATAGCAATCAGAAATCCAGAAGATTAACAATAAAATTTCAGAATTAGACAACTCAGTAGAAAGTCATAGGAGCAGAATTGAGGCAATGGAAGTCAAAATTAGTGAGACTGAAGATAAAGCACTTGACGCCAACTTATTTGAGGCAAAATCAGAGAAAAGGATTAAAAAAAATGAAGAAACTCTAAGAATTATGTGGGTTTCTATCAAGAGGAATAACCTACGAGTGATTGGAGTACCAGAACAGGGCGGGGGGTGGGGGGGAAGTAACAGAAAATACAGAGAGAATTCTTGAAGATTCGTTGGCAGAAAACTTCCCTGATACCGTGAAAGATGAAAAGATATCTATTCAAGATGCTCATTGAACCCCACATAAGGTAGATACCCAAAGAAAGTCACCAAGACGTATTATAATCAAACTTGCCAAAACTGAAGATGGATAATTTTAAGAGCAGCTAGGGATAAACAAAAAGTCATCTACAAAGGAGAGTCAATACAAATAAGCTTGGACTACTCAACAGAAACCATGTAGGCAAGAAGGCAATGGGATGACATATATAAAGCTGTGAAGGAAAAAAATTGCCAGCCAAGAATTACATATCCAGCAAAACCGTCTCTCAAATATGAAGGCGAAGTTAGGGCATTTCCAGGTAAACAGAAGTTTAGGGAATTTGCAAAAACCAAATGAAAATTACCAGAAATACTAAAGGGAGTCCTCTGGTTAGAAAATCAATCACATCAGATGACAACCTAAGACTGGAACACAGGACAGAGCAACCAGATATCAACCCAGATAGGGAAGTCACAAAAATAAACCAAACCTAAAACACTGAAAATAGGGAAACAGATGTCAGTATGTAAAAGATGACAGCATTAAAACAAAAAAGAGGGACTTAAAAAACGTTTCATATGGAGAGGAAGTCAAGGCGATATAAAGAAATAAAAGACTGGTATAAACTTAGAAAAATAGGGGTAAGTATTGAGGTAACCACAAAGGAAACTAAGAATCCTACACATCAAAATAAAAAAACTAGAAAAATGTAAAGACTCAGCAAATACAAAATCAACAACAATGAAAAAGATGAAAAGCAAATACATAAAGAAGAATGACTCAGCACAGAAAATTAAGTGGAACAAAGAAACTGTGAACAACACACAAAAAAAGACATCAAAATGACAGCAGTACGCTCATACCTATCAATAATTACGCTGAATGTAAATGGACTAAATGCACCAATAAAGAGACAGAGTAGCAGATTGGATAAAAAAACATGCTTCATCTATATGCTGCCTACAAGAGATACACCTTAGACTTACAGACACAAACAAACTAAAACTCAAAGGATGAAAAAAATACATCAAACAACACTCAAAAAAGAGCAGGAGTGGCAATATTAATTAATCTCTGACAAAATAGACTTTCAAGTAAAATCCACCACAAAGGATGAGGAAAGACACTGTATAATGATTAAAGGGTCAATACACCAGGAGGACTTAACTGTAATAAATATTTATGCACCCCACCATAGGGCTTTAAAATATATAAACTCTAACAGCATTGAAAAGAGAGATAGACAGCTCCACAACAGTAGTAGGAGACTTCAACACACCACTTTGGGTGAAGGACAGAGCATCCAGAAAGAAGCTCAACAAAAACATGGAAGATCTAAACGCTAAAATCAACCAACTTGATCTCATAGACATATACTGAACCCTCCACCCAACAGCAAGCAGCCAAGGATACTTTCTTTTCCAACGCACATGGAACGTTCTCCTGAATAGACCTCATATTAGGCCATAAAATGAGCCTTCACAAAATCCAAAGCATCTTTTCTGACCATAAAGCCGTAAAAGTAGAAACCAGTAACAGAGAAAGCAAGGAAAAAAAATCAAGCACATGGAAACTGAACAACACCTTGCTCAAAAACTATGGGATTATAGAAGAAATTAAGGATGGAATAAAGAACTTCATAGAATCAAACGAGAATGAAAACATATCCTACCAGAACCTTTGGGACACAGCAAAAGCAATGCTCAGAGGTCAGCTTATAGCAATAAATGCACACATCCAAAAGAAGAAAGGACTGTAATCAAAACATTAACCCTACAACTGGAACAAGCAGAAAAAGAGCAGCAAAAGAAGCCTTCAGGCATCAGAAGAAAGGAAGTAATAAGAAATAGAGCAGAATTAAATGCAATAGAGAATAGAAAAACAATTGAGTTAACAAGACCAAAAGCTGGTTATTTGAAAAGATCAACAAAATTGATAAACCATTGGCCAAACTGACAAAAGAAAAACAGGAGAGGAAGCAAATAACCTGTATAAGAAATGAGATGGGTGATATCACAACAGACCTGACTGAAATTAAAAGAATCATTAGAGAATACTATGATAAATTATACTCTAACAAATTTGAAAACCTAGAGGAAAT